CCCCAAAACCCCAAAACCCCATGAGTAAAATATTTCTCTTATGATAGTCAAATGAGATTGATTGATTATTAAAAAGTAAATTAGAATTGATGCGTAAGCAATTTAAAAAAGTTTCAACAATAGAAACTATTTTAGCATGCGATTTAGAAGAGGATTTCGACGAAGATTTTATGACCCCTTCAATGCTTACTCTTATTCAAGGTCAAAGTTGATAATATCTGCAAAAGCTAATATAGGAAAGTGAAGTACCTAGTCAACCATTAGTGAGTAAACTCCCTCAAAGTAATATACTGACTCAAATTCAATAACCAAGTCTTCGTTCTGTAGGCCATAACCTCAGTACAAAGTAGTAAAAGATCAAGAAGTTGGTTAAGTCGTACTGCTTGATTCTGATTGTGAAATAGACGAAGAATGCGACAAAGAGGGAAATGATTAAAACTTTAATAATTAAGATCAAGATTTTGTGGATTTAGATGACTAAGCTGAAGGTTTTGCCGAAGATTATGAAAATGATAATTTTACCTATCAAAATCATCCAACTAATGAGGACATGTTTTACAATGATGATTAAGATCAATACTATATGCAGGAGCAATTTAGTTGTAATCCTGGATTTAGTGGAGGGGAGCCAAGGGATGAGGAAATTTAATTAATAGACGATGATGATGAAGAAGATTTCGACAAAGAGTAATATATAAGGACAAATAAATGAGTAAAACTTAATGACGGGTCTTCAATTGTAATGAGGGAATATAAAAGTAAGAAAATTGAAGACGAATAGACTGGTTTTAGGAATCCTAATGAGGAGGTATTGAATCAAAATAATGAACAAAACTAGTAATAAGTTTTTGAAAATCCAAGATAAGATGATATTGAAATTAATAATGCTGATGATTAGCTTAATATAATTGATGATGATTAAATAGAAGAAGATGAATATGAGGAAAACGAGTTGATAATAGAATAAAATGATGAGGAGGAAGTAGAAGAAGAAGAAAATAATCAATTAGATAGAAATATAGAGCAGTTGTAAGATGATAAACAAGAGAGTGCTGAAATGAAGGAACTGGAACCTCAAGATTAAGATAATGATAACTGCTGCATGATTGTAGAAGAGGAATAGGAATAAGAATAACACATATCATAGCCAGAAACCCATTAAGAGGAACAATAGATTGAAGCATAAGCGTAATAATAATAGATTGAAGCAAAAGCGTAAGCTTAAGTTGAAATCCCTTTCGTTTTAGAAAATGAGATTAAAATGAATGATCAAACCATATAAAGTAAAACTCAAAAATCAGCTGACCATGAAATCTTGATATAAGATGAATCGATTGAAGAAAAACCAACCAAATTGAAGCAAAATTTCCTTTAATGGAGTGATAAAGCAACTGATCTAAAGCACAATAATAAGTAAAATAAGGGAGTCAAAGCATAAGAATAAGTGAAGCCTAAAGAAAAGAGAATATCGCCAGATAAAGATAAACAACTGAAGATTAAAAAGTTATCACATTCTAATCAGAGCTGAATTTCAATTCCAGTAAAGGAAAAAATAGAGGTGTTTTAGGAATTAAAGGTTTAGTAATAGTATGAATAGAATCATTAATATCAATAAAAGAATCCAGAGGATTTAAGACCTACCTCAGCAAATGGTTATGATCCAATTAATGATGCTCCTTTTTACAGAGGACAGGCAATCCCATTTAGTTTCCTAACTAATTCTCTTTGTGAAATAGAATAATGCAAAGGGAAAAGAAGTACTCAGTAAATAAAGGATATCATTAGCAATGTATTTAGAACCACACTACTTCTATGCCCTGAGGAACTACCAGATATGTTTTACTTTTTCTGCATCAAATTAGGACCAGATTATGAGTCTAATGAGACAGGCATAGGCTTAGAGTTACTATCAAATTCAGTAGCTAAGGCATGTGGAAAATCTGTTAAACAAATTAGAGAATAGTACAAAATTGATGGAGATTATGGGATAGTTGTAGAGAAGGGAAAAGGAGCTCAAAAATCTCTAGGTAATTTTTTCAAGAAATAAGAAACTACCAAGGCTAAACCCTTGACATTTAGAAAAGTTTATGAGTCATTTCAAAAAATATCCAAGTGTAGTGGCAACAATTCATAGTCAGAAAAAGAAACCATTATACTAAAGCTGCTCTAAGAAGCAACAAATGAAGAGGCTAAGTATATAGTAAGATGGCTTTAAAAAAATTTGAAGACAGGTGCTGCTGAGAAAACTTATTTAGCTGCATTGGCAAGATCAATCGCATACACTCCTCCTAACACTAAACCTATGATAGTAAATGCTAGGATAGGGATGCAAGATTACTAATTCTATTAGAAATGTGACTACTTGGAACATGGGATAAATGAAGCTATCTGTGAATTTCCAAATCACGGTGAAGTTATAAAGGTTTTACTTTAAGTGGGTGATGATATGGCAAAACTAAAATAATAATGCCATATAAGAATTGGAATTCCAGTTAAGCCTATGCTTGCTAAGCCTACTAAAGGTATAAGAGAAGTCTTAGATAGATTTGAACAGTAGAAATTTACTTGTGAGTACAAATATGATGGCTTTAGAGGATAGATTCATTTCGATAGATCCAATCTTGACAAGCAAGTTATGATTTACTCAAGAAATTTAGAAAGTATGACTCATCAGTACCCAGATGTTGTCGAGTTTATAAAACGTACTGCTTCTATTGAGTTAGACACATTTATACTAGACTCTGAGCTAGTTGCTTTTGACACTATTAATAATAGGATACTTCCATTCCAAGTCTTGACACAAAGAAGTCGTAAGAATGTAACTGAAGAGGACTTAAAGACTAAGATATGTGTTTGTGCTTTTGATCTATTATATTTAAATGGAAAATCTTTACTTAAAGAAAATTTCACTACGCGTCGATCCTTAATGCACTATCACTTTAAAGAGAAAGAGCACAGTTTAATATTTGCAAAGTATAAGGATGCTGAAGCTGTGGAATCAATAGAGGAATTCCTTCAAGAGTCAATAAAGGATTCTTGTGAAGGACTCATGGTCAAAACACTAGAAAGCAATGCCACCTACGAGCCATCTAAAAGATCTCTAAATTGGCTTAAGCTCAAAAAAGATTATCTTGACTCAGGCTTTGGGGATTCTTTAGACTTGGTTGTTGTGGGAGCTGATTTTGGAAAGGGTAAGAGGGCTGGTCTCTATGGCTCTTTCTTGATGGCATGCTTTGATGACAATCTTGAGATGCTTTAAACCATAACAATGATGGCAAGTGGGATTACAGATGACTAAATGTATCTATTTCATGAAATGCTTTAGAAGACAGAAATCTCAAGGCCCCCAACCAATCTGAAGTATAAAGATAAAAGTGTGGATGTTTGGTTCTAGCCTAGATACGTGTGGGAAGTTAAATGCGCTGATCTATCTTTAAGTCCAGTTTATTGTGCTTCCCTAGGCTCAATTGAGTCAAATAGAGGTATAGCGCTGAGATTTCCAAGATTTATAAGAGAAAGACCAGACAAAAACATTGAGGATGCCACAAGCAGCAATCAGATCTTAGAATACTTTAAAAGTTAACCTCAGCATCTTAATAAAGAAGCAGAGGAAGAAGAATTTGAGTTTTGAAAATATTATAAATTCGCAGAATTAACATCTAATTAATTTAATGAGATCAAAACTTTACCTTTATTATTTTGTTAGCAATATGAGACTTGCGGGGTTTTGGGGTTTTGGGG